TTATGGGGGTCAGCCTGACTAGATATCCTGGGAGATGGTGGACGGACCGGGTCCGTAGGGAACCCTACCGGGATTGTGGTCTCACATGCCGGACGGGGTATGGAGATCTTATGGTTTTGGCGCCCATACCGGACGGGGTATGGGGACGGCCCGTTTCACCCTCATACCGGACGGGGTATTGAGGTTTATGGTTTTGGCGCCCATACCGGACGGGGTATGGGGACGGCCCTGGAAACTGATTATGAATGTTAAAGGTTAACGGGTAGCGGAACCCCTATGGACCCCCACGGATACTAGTAGGCTGGTAAATGAGAAAAAGGGAGATGGCGTGGCAAGATCGCGTCACTCCGAAAGGAGCCACGTTGGCGATCCGCGTGGGTGCGATCCGACGGCCCAGATCAATCACGCGATCGGACGGCCCAGATTCAATCGCACGGACGGCCCAGATTCAATCAAAAACGAACGGCCCAGATTAAAACAAAATGAACGGCTGTGATCAAAAGGCAAGGGGTTATAAATAGAACCCCCACACCAGACCACAAACCCTAGCCGCCAGCCGCTCGCCGGAGAAGACGAACCAGAGGCCGACCGCCGCCACCCGCCGCCGCTCGCCGCCGCACCGGGGAAATTTTCGACCGCCGATCGAGGTAAATTTCATACCCCCGACTCGTTTTTCCCCACTGATTCCTCCTATGGCCAAATCGAAGCCGAAATCCCGGCCAAACGGCCGGAATACGCGGCCGAAGCCCAGCGGCGCCGCCGCGCCCCCTCTCGGTTTTTGCCTCCGACGAGGCCCTTCCCGGCCTCCGTTCGATGAAATTTTTATATCACCGTGATCACCATTCTTTTCTCTACAGGTTGACCGGAGCCGAATCACCAAAACACGAACCTCGCCGGAGAGCCGCTGCACCCGAGAGCGCCGCCGCCGGTAAGCTCCGTTTTTCCGTGATTTTTTGGCCCCCCGAGGGCCCTAAGGTTCTTTTCTGACAAGGACCAATGCGAGTGTGGCCGAATTCGGCCGAAAACGGCCGAAAACAGCCAACCCGAGGCGACTCGCCGCCGCCAGCGGCGGCGCCGTCGCCGGAGCACGGCGGAGCTGCCGTGCCGGAGTTGCGATTTGGGCCGAAAGAGGCCCTGGGCCTAATTTGGATTTTTTTGGAACACGTGCAGGTACGGTTAGTGTGTTTCAGTTTCCCGGGAAAAACTCAGGGAAAATTAGGGACGGCCTGCAGGCGCACTGTGAATCGTATTCGGATCCCGAAAACAAGTAAGGACCCCTCACCCTATTTCCTATCACGGTATTAAAGTTCAAAATGATAAAACGGTATTTCTTGAATTAACGCATGTGTGAAATTGCTTAAGGTTGCTAATGGAGCCCGAGTCTGGTGTGATTGATGATTTACTGTTATTTGGCCTGTTTTACACTGTTTTACAGCTTTAAATGCAAAATGAGGTTTGATGTGTTCATTTTACAGATTTGTGTGCATATACTACGTTTTTATTAATTATGGGTTGAGTGACTGAAAAACTGACATTGTATGTTGTCTGTTGGTATGAATTACGATTCGCTTGTTTAAATGTGAATTGATGATGTTGATTGAGGAAAAGGAAAATGAAAGATTGTATAGACTGATAATTGTATTATGGGGGTCAGCCTGACTAGATATCCTGGGAGATGGTGGACGGACCGGGTCCGTAGGGAACCCTACCGGGATTGTGGTCTCACATGCCGGACGGGGTATGGAGATCTTATGGTTTTGGCGCCCATACCGGACGGGGTATGGGGACGGCCCGTTTCACCCTCATACCGGACGGGGTATTGAGGTTTATGGTTTTGGCGCCCATACCGGACGGGGTATGGGGACGGCCCGTTTCACCCTCATACCGGACGGGGTATTGAGGTTCATGGTTTTGGCGCCCATACCGGACGGGGTATGGGGACGGCCCTGGAAACTGATTATGAATGTTAAAGGTTAACGGGTAGCGGAACCCCTATGGACCCCCACGGATACTAGTAGGCTGGTAAATGAGAAAAAGATATGTTGTACAATGATTGAATTACAAGAGGCGTGATAAGTGTTATGTTTTACAGCTTATATTATTCAATGATTATGATAATGTTATTGTTTTTCTTATATTGTTTTCATAAATTCCACCGAGGTAAGTGGATGGTAAAGGTTTTCATGTTAATAAACGAGTTCGTTGTAAATTTTGCTCCATTGGTCATTTTTATTTTCTACCCACCTTTATCTCCGTGACGGTGAGATATCGTGATGTTCTTACTGGGCTAGTGTAGCTCACTCCTTAATTAACCATTTCAGATCAGGAAGACATGGTTCCCGAGCCCGTTCCGCAGGAGGACGACGAAGGGGATGCCTAGAGACTCTGTAGTCATACGCATAGTTTTATTTTCGAGTTTCTTTCTTAGTTAGTTTAATCTTTTATATTTTAAGTACGTTTTTTGGTTTTTCGTGTAAGGGATGTTAACTAAAATTTTGATCTCGCTTCCGCATTCGATATATTTAAATACTCATTTCTTTTTAATATTTCCGGGTCGTTACACCCGCTCTCTCTCTCTCTTCCCCCTCTTTTTTTGTTTTCTTCCCTCAATCTACCCCCTTTTATATATTTTCCTCCCTATGAAATACTAGCCGTTTATCCTAATACTCTAATCCTCACTGTTCATTTGTTTGAACCCCACCCTAAGCCTACCAAGACATTACATTGTACTCATAAATAAAAATATTAAAAGTTAATAATGGAGATTAACTTAATATAATATGAAAGTATATAAACTAATTTAATCCAAAACATGATATAAAGACCAAATTGAATGAAAAATACTAGTACAATAACCACATTTATATTTTAATTCCAAACAAATTATTTAGAGTTTTTCTCCTAATAGAGCACTTCAAGTCAGACCTACATGAAGAATTTTTATCTCTATATATTTTTTCAAAGTACAATTTATCTTGGATATTCTCGCATCTTCAATATAAAAGGTAAAAAAAAAAAGCTAGTGATTTTATAACTAAAATTTAAAAATCAAATCAAATATTTGAAGCTATACAATGTAAAAAAACATAGGTAGAAATATAATAGTAGGTTCTAATTTATATATGGTGATTAGATGATACTATAAGCAAACTTGTTAGACTTTAATGAGATTAAAATCATTCCTTCCCAATGCATGATTTGCTGCATGATCTCACTTAGTGTTGAAAAATAGACAATTATATATGTAAATTTTTGAATAAAATATAACTTTGACATTACTATTTGATAGTTGATTACATTTGATTTTCAGACTAATGTTTTTTTTCTTCACTCTCATTTAATAAAATACAAAAAGTTTGATTGAGAAATATAGCAAAAGTTTTATCAAACCCTTTTCTTTAATGAGTTTCATTAAATTTGAACGAACTCAAAATATACATTATATAGGGTGAAGCTTAATAAGGAGCTTGTTTGTAACATAAATTTAAATCAAATATGAATTATAATTCTCTAATTTTATTAATAAGTAATTATTAAAATAATACTATATTTAACATAAATTATCTAGAGTTGAATATGTTTGCTAGTTTGTCATCTTTTTATAAATTTATTATTCGAATTTGAATTATTTAATTAAATAAGTCTTTTTTTAAATTTTCTAATTCAATTTTCATAATCGCAAATAGATATTATTAACCATTATTAACAAATAGTGTGTTAATTAAAATTTATAATAATGATATATTAGTATTATTTATAATTTTAAAAAACAATAAATATATTTTTTGTAATACTAAAATAAATTATGTTTTTAAATATTTCATAAAATTTCCGCACATATATATTTATAATTTTTGATAATCTTTTTTAATTTCAATTTCAGTTAATGTGATTTACTCGCAATAGAGAACTCGTGATGTATCATGTCCTTAAAATTGGCGGGAATTTCACCGCCTTCTTTCCTCCTTGACAGCTTTCTCTCGTTCTCTCTGACTCCTCGAAGCTCAAGGAACCATGAATAACGGCAACCAAAGAAAACGGCCGCCACCGGCGTCACAGCGTTCTTCATCGGAAGTAAAGCACCAAGCCACAGCGCCGGCGCCGCCACCTACAGCGGCAGTCTTAGAAGATGATTTCGTGGATGAAGACGTCTTTTTGGACGAAACCCTCATTTCCGGCGAAGAAGACGAGGAGTCACTCATCCTCCGCGACATCGAAGAACGGGAAGCTCTCGCCTCTCGCCTTTCCAAATGGGCCCGTCCTCCTCTTTCCCGTGCTTATCTCTCCGAATCCCAGAGCATCAGTAAGTACGCGATGCTTTCATTTCTGCTCTCCGATAAATCTTCCTCTGCTGGATTTTGTTTTGTTTTGTTTTTTCTGTTTTCGATGGTTTTCGTAGAAATTGATGGGGAATTTGGTTTTTTCTTGTTTAGTTTTCCAGCAATTGGAGATTGATTATGTGATTGGGGAGAGTCACAAGCAACTATTGACTGATTCATCAGGACCTGCAGCTATTATCAGGATTTTTGGTGTTACTAGAGAGGGTTAGTTATTCCTTTTCCGATTCGTTAATATTTTTTTGAAATTCTAGCTGATTAGTTCCAGTCTTGTTGTACTACTGTTTTCCATTGTATTAATTACTTCATGTATCTAACCGTTCTTTTGAACTCAAGCTAGCTAACTGAGTTCCGTATATTGAAGGGTCATATGTCCTCGGTAGTTCTGAATGAACTGATAGATGTATTTTCTAAGGCATTGATTTTCTTTAGCTGGTTTTATTACTGAGACTGACTAAAAGGTCAGCACTTTCACAGTTTGATAGCTGTGAACTCTGAGAAAGTCGAACTCTTCATAAAATTGATTAGTATGTATTAGCTTGTCTAACCAAAGGAACCAATCGAACTAGTTCTGTTTTAACAAAAAAATCAAAATCTACACCATATTGGTTAATAATTTAAAACATACTATAATTATGTAACAATATTAATGTTAGTAATTTTGTAATATGCAAATAAATATAATTTAATATATTTGAATATTTAACTAAAAATGATAAATATATAATATATAACAAAAAATAATAATTTAATTCATTTTTAAGCTAGTTTCACTTCCTGAATTCGGAAACGAGAACTGACTGCAAAAGCCTGTATAAATCAAACAATTTTTTGAAAAATCAAACAAATCGCTTTAGTTACCGGATTTTCCGCTTAATTAGTTTGTTCGTTTTTCCTGAAAATGCTCTCCCCTAGATGCTCGAGGTTTTCATAACTTTATATCTTTTACTTTTAGCACCGACCCTGTGTTTGGATAAAACTTGGTAACCCTACTTTCTATTTTCTCATTACAGTATGATAATCTTCTTTTTGGAAAGGACTTTTCCTTAAATTTCTATTTTTTTTTCATTATCCGTATTGGAGAAAAAAGGGAAAAGGAATGTTTAAAATTTGAAAGCAAAAGTTTTAAAATTTAAATATTTTCTTTTTTCTCATTTCTGACTCCATTTTGGTGGAACAAGAAAATTTAGACTTACATGGTATCTGAATATATTTTTTGACTCTAATTTTTAACTTAATATATATTAATATAAAAAGCATAAATGGTTGTATGTGTCTGTTGTATCTGTATAAAAAGTAGTTTCATAGCAAACACTGAAAACTGAGATTTTTTTATTTGTTTTCTATTCATGTCAAATTTTTACTGTCATTTTTGGAGCACTGCTAGACATGTTTATATATGACCATTTATAGATTTAGAATGAAACTGCAAAATATTTTCAATTATTGAACAAAGTTTTACTTTTTAAGAAATGATAATCGTCGATTTCCTTTTTCTTCTTTGGAACACTGTTATTTAATTACTAGACGTGTTTTCTTTCTTTTCCTTTTGCTCCCCTTAATCCAAATGTAGGTAAGTTTCATTTTAGCACTTTATTATAGTAGCAGTATAGTTTTTCGGTTGGTGCCCAAAATTTATACTGTAATATTTGAAAGATTCCTGGTTATGCAGAGAGCTGGGACAGACTAGCAATTTTGTAAATTTCTCATCAAATATAGGATCTTTCCCTCAAAACTATGTCATGAAAAAGAAAATTAAAATTGGATTCTTCTTAAAATGTGTTGTGTAAGTCTACTAATGCTTTATGTTATGAATTTATTAGGACACAGTGTTTGTTGCCATGTTCATGGCTTTGAGCCATATTTCTATATAGCTTGCCCCCCTGGAATGGGCTCTGATGATATTTCGCGTTTTCATCACATTCTTGAGGTATTTATTTTACTAGTTTTTCAGGTTGTTCTTTTCAGTGTAATAGGGTTATGCTATTTCTTGATTAATTTTTTATATTGGTGCCGCTTTAGGGAAGGATGAAGGAGGCAAACAGAAACAGCAAGGTACCGAAATTTGTTCGGCGTATTGAATTGGTGCAGAAAAGAAGCATTATGTATTACCAGCAGCAAAAGTCTCAGCTTTTCCTCAAAATTGTAGTTGCACTTCCGACAATGGTGACTAGTTGTCGTGGTAAAACCGCTGGTTTCTGTTCTAGGAATGGAAATGATGTTTAATAATTTTCTACAATTTTGATCCTTACCACTCGTTCTAATACTTAGTCAAATCAGCTTTATGTAATGAAATCTAGTCCTCTATTGATATGAGTTTATATGCTGACATATGAGGACAGTCACTGGCTTATGAGTCAAACCAAGTACTTTTTCTTGTGATGATAATATTTTTCTCAAATTTTTAGGTAATTATTTTTTCCCGTTGTTGATACATGTATATGAAATATCCTTGGACATAATAATCATATTTTGACAGCTGAATTTTTCTTAGTGAAGAGGTTGTTATATATTTCCATAGTAACTTATTTACATCTTCCAACAATTTCTATACTTTTTGATTTTTGGTAACAATTCCCAAAAATTATTAGGTATTCTTGATAGGGGCATTCAGATTGATGGTTTTGGTACAAAGAGCTTTATGACATATGAAAGCAATGTTCTTTTTGCTCTTCGTTTCATGATTGACTGCAATATTGTTGGTGGCAATTGGATTGAAGTACCTTCCTGGAAATATAAGAAAACTGCAAAGAATTTGTCCTACTGCCAACTCGAGTTTGACTGCCTGTATCCTTTTCTTTATGCAGTTTCTTTGTCTCCCTTAGAATGGGTTTATTTTCTTGTTTGCTAATGGTTCTGTTATAGTCTGGAAAATGTGGACGACTGCTTTCCTTAGCATCAGTTCCAGGTATTCGGATTTGATCAGCCATGCACCA